CCAGATAAAGAAGTGTTCTCTACAATTAAAGTATTCAAATAATTTCAGGCATAATATTAATTAGTGATATAGATTTTACTTAAATCTATTGTTACAAGTTCAGTACTGTATCCTACCAAACAAATAAATTAATAAGAGAGAGAGAGAGAGAGAGAGAGAGAGAGAGAGAGTGTGTGTGTGTGTGTGTGTAATGGATTAAAATGAAAATTTTACCATACTGCAATCATTAGTTAAAATGAAAATTCTTTAACAAAAATATTCTTGCATTTCAACCACTATCATTTTAATATTAATTAATCAACCACTATCATTTTATAATTAATTATAATGAAAACGATTTTTCCATTTTTATGGGGAGGTGGGATTCACATCAACTGGCAACAATGGCAACTAAATTCCTTATTTCAATTTTAAAGAAATAGACAGCAATTCCCAATACTCTACATGTTAACATGTTTCGTTCCAGGAAAATATTTCCATCATGATTTATGACATACGTATTTAATAATCTACTTTGGTTTTGAAGGATAAAAGTCAGATTCTTCAACCCAGCATATTCAACCTAGCATATTCAACCTAGCATATTCAATCCAGCAATTATATCATTTCCCCTGTAAGTCTCTTTTTCTATCAACTGCCTTCTAGTCCCATAAGCCCTGTCACTTTTCAGTTACACGTGGGTAACACACAAACGACGAAATCTTTTCTTTCAAGATTTCCCCAACATCTATAGAACTGTTTTCTATTGTCTTTGTTTTGGAAATCTCGTTCTTATATTTTTACTTTTTGCTCCTTTCTTCTTTATGTTACATCTGAGAAGTTAAAGTCTGAATGTGATCCTCCCAACTCGACCAACACCCTTAGAGGATAAGAGGTTATTTTCTTGTACACATGTGCTCTTAATATTCAATTAAACGAAAATAGCCGAAAAATGTCTCCACACACCATTCAGTATTTTTAAGTGCCCCCTGAAGGGTTTCAGCAGGTGGTCACGGGGAAGTAAATCGCCTACAGATAACAAACGTTTTGGCGTATTGTTTAACAAAGGTCGTTCATTATTTATTTCAACGTAATGACAAGCTATATCTCCTCTCCTGTTCTTCTATCTCTCTTTCTCTGTTTCACTGTTTGTTTCACTCTCTCTCTCTCCCTCTCTCTCTCTCTTTCTTTCTCTCTCTCTCTCTCTCTCTCTCTCTCTCTCTCTTCACACGTGCGCAGCTATATGTGTAGATATATCTCTATATGCATTTACATACAAAGGGAGTGGTCTTTTTTATTAAGTCATATAAATCAATTTTATCTCTTCATGAACAGCACATATGTTTCTTGTTAAGTCAAGATAGGTTATTGAAAAAAGAAGATAAGGTAAAAGATACTCTTTTGATTGAATATGGACAATTTTGGACAATTATTGGACTTTTGGACAATTATCACTTGCTTTGCTGTTTCTCTTCTTAAGCTTCGATCTATGAGCTCTCCGTTCAACATCAGATAAAATTCGAATAGAAGCTTTTAGCATTGTTGATATATGTCTAATTAGAGCAGCTGATGTGCCACGAATGCTTGATCATGATAGTAAGTTAATTATACAAGTACTCACAAGATTTTCTTGCCAGCGGAATTCTCACTTTTAACCAAAAATATGAATTTGGAGTAGAATATTAGATTATTTACAAAAGGCGATAATTTTGTATGTCTTCATTTCTAACAAAGTCTGTGTATTTTTTATATATTTGATGGTCCATGTTGATATTTAATGAGATGCCTCGTTTCGAACAGGATGTTACGAGTGAAGCCCCCAATGACGATGACTAGACAGTAGTCCTACAGATTAGATTATTATTTCAAGCATATAATTAATAAGTTTAGCCTAGTCGATACAAGGTCACAAAAGAAGAGTATTAAATAAGGATTGAACTCAAAATAAAATCAACATTTAATGGCAAGTATCCAAATAGATATTCATAAAATCAAGTTTCATTTAACGTATTCACAAGGCACAAACTTTATAACAATTGCTTGTGAGATAAAATAATTTTTTCAATAGCATTCGTCCAAGTAAATATTTACTAACCTTGAACAATTTTGCTACAGGATCAAAGTATTACTAATGTTAAATGTGAAATGTCTTAAACAATTAAAAAACAATAGTTTCGTGCAAGGGTTAACTGCTTAATCTCACAAGTCATGCTTCTCTCAAGTATAAAAGTCTCTTTGAAGACTGATATAGATCCCATACCAAGAACATTATAATTTTGCAAATATGTCATATATATATGCAGTTTGTCTCAATCAATGGAAGAAAGCCACTACTAATTCTCATGCTAGAAGACTGAATTGAGGTACCCCGAACCATTGTTACCTACGGGTGATCTCTGGCTAAGATGTAGCACCTGTTTGCTCCCTACCGGGGTTATGGCATTTTTTTTATATACCTGTTCATTTTATTTATGTACTGTTTATATGTCGGTGTGTGAGCGTGGCGGCGTTGATGTGTGTGTGCGTGTATGTGTATGTATGTGTGTATCGCATACAGGGGGGGGGCAAGGAAAAAAAGAAAGAGGAATGATTAACATGAACGGAAATGGAATAAGTGTAAGCAGAATGTGATTCTTGAGCGCGTTTTCGTATGTGTACATGTATGTGTATATGTTCCAGTGAGGGAAATAAATGGTTAGTTACCACTTCAAGCCGAGCACGCCGCCATGTTTCTGACAAGATAGAAATTGTATGTGCGTTTGCTTCCTTTCTTATGGAAGAGCGAACATTGCTGGTGAACAGGGAGTTATCTGGGAGTTGGCTAAAATTTGCCAAGGGGAGTCGCAGTGTGTAGTTATAAAGATGGAAAAGCTGTAGCTGACGGAAAGTACACAAGTCGATACCCGATCAATATCGGATGGGTCACCGCGGATAGCGGGTATGATGTTGAAAGACCCAAAACCCCTAATGACCCTCGGCTAGAAACATCACTGATGATGTGTACTAAAGTATCCAATAAATATATTTTAAGAAATGGAACTCTGAATTATTCAGTGACTTCTAGGAAAAGACTAGATGACAACCAGAGAGAATTTTTAGTAACTGGAAAGCTCGGAAAGACGACAGTTTGGGCAAGCTGGGTTAGCATCCCTACTTGCATCTTCTACTAGCAAGGAACCATTGTTGGCTACGAGTTTTACAACAAATACATACCCCCAGAGGATCCCGAGAGCGGGGTAGTGAGATCTCCATCAGGACTGATAAAGGGCTTTCGAGCACGGATTACACCCGGATTACGAAATTGAAATGCATCTGTGGGAAGGACTGTAATAAACCGCATGGTCTTAAAATCCACCAGATCAGGATAAAATGTTTGGAGAAAGAGAGGCAGTCACAACGCACTGGTAATTTCCCTGGTGAGACGGAGGAGGAGCATGGCCAGGACACATACCACAGAGCCGAGTCCCACCATGTGCTGGTCTCACGAAATCCAGAGAGTGTGACCAGAAAGCGGATTAAATGGCCCAATGCACACCAGAAGGAAGAATGGCAACAGTTTGACCAGGATGCGAGTGTTATTTTAGGAAATATATTGAAAGGGGACGCAGATAGTAGATTATATACAATGGCGACTATCGTTATTAGTTATGCGTCCGAGAGATTCGGTTATGTTCAAAAGGAAAACAAGAAAGAAGCCAGAAAAAACCACCGGGAAATGAAAATTCACCAGTTGAAACATCAGCTAAAATCTCTAAAGAAACAATACAAACAAGCAAATGAGATAGAAAAACCACCTCCTTCGGAACTCCAAGATATATTGAGGAAAAAACTTAGAACTCTTCATAGAACGGAAAGTCACAGAAAGCGTGCGAAAGATAGGGCTAGGAAAAGATCTACCTTTATTTCAAACCCTTTTGGTTTTGTGAAGAGGTTACTCGGAGATAAGAGAAATGGTTATCTTGAGTGTCCGGCGGAAGAAATGAAATAAATTCTTTCCTCCGAGAAACACTCAGTGACCAAGAGAGAGGAAATAATTTAGGAGAAAACAATGCAATAGTGCACCCTGAACTGCTAAAAACAGGTTTTAACTTGAGGACACCGACCTTGATAGAATTAAAGGAGGCCATATTAGCAGCTAGATCAGCTTCGGGCCCAGGACCCAGCGGTGTTCCCTATAGTGCCTATAAGAGATGTTCGAATATTTAATTACATCTCTGGAAGATATTAAAAGCTATTTGGAGAAGAGGTAAAGTTGCAAGACAGTGGAGGTTCACTAATGCAGTATAGAATCATAAAGAAGAAAACAAAAGGAACTGAACAGTTTAGAATAATTTCTTTGCTGGACACTGAGAATAAAATCCCATACCAAGAACATCATAATTTTGCAAATATGACATATATATATATATATATATATATATATATATATATATATATATATATATATGCAATTTGTCTCAATCAATGAAAGGAAGCCACTACTAATTCTCAGGCAGTTTTATTACCCGGTTATCAACAAAGCAGAGAATTTTTCATATGTATTGTATTTATTGTTAACAGAGTCACTAAACCAAAATATGGACATTGATATCTAACTGAACAACGATGCTGTTAGTGTTGGATAACAACATTCGGCTCATTGTCCTCATGCATAGTTATGCCTTTATTATCATATTCGTTGTTAAAGGATTCAACTAATTCAGTACTAACATTTTAGTTACTAGTTTGGATTTTTTTTTAAATATTACTTTGTTTAACTTTTTTTACTCAAAAGAACATCATTTACCTCTACATGATATCTGTTATTAAAATATTTTTCGATTTAGATTGATGTGTATCATCAGCACATTTTATCTATTTATAGTTTGTGCAGTTTACACAGCTTTGAAAGGAGAACAAGAAATCTTTTAACTTTGTTATGAGATTACATGTCTTAACTGATTTCAAGGGTGAATACTGAATAAAGATTAATATTTTTTTTAATTGTTAATGTTTATTCATTTTTTTTAATCTTTTCTCAGGTGCAAAAGCGAATTGCAGACAGAAGGTGGACAAACGGCAGCAGATATAGCAAAACTCTGGGACCAAAGCAGAATCGCCGCACTCTTAGGTGCTAATTCGGCTAATTCACGGATCTCTCGGAAAACGGCCATCCTCTCTGAAATTTCAAATCCACAAATAAAGGGAGAAAATATTCAAAATGTATTTCTGCAGAGGACCACAGATAAAAGAAAAGACGTCCTCTGGCTTGATATCATGTTCAAAGACGATTTTACTAAATTTATCTTATTTTCCGATATGCAAGTTTTCGTGTCGATTAAGAACGGTACGAAGAAAAATGAGAAATCTCATCATCAGCTGGTGACAGCCAGCTATAAAGACATTGACTTTTACTTGGCAATCAAACCCCTAACAGTATTTCTTGGAGTGCAGCTTGTCAATCAAAAGGACGACCGACATCCCAAAGAAAGGGCTTGGTTTGCTGTAGATGCTTCAGCAATGGACAAAGAGAAACTGCAAAGTATCCTACCACGAGGCCATTTTATATCCCCATTTCCGGCGTTCTTGCACTTGAACACGCTCGAAAAGTGTATCTTTTCAGCTGCGTGTTCTTTGATGGCATGGCACCGGCAACACCATTTCTGTCCGTCGTGTGGCTCCAATACTGCACCCGAAGATGCTGGATCAAAAAGGACTTGCAAAAACGTTCAGTGTACAAGTCGTTCAGGTTAGTTTCCTTTTTTAAGTGTCAGAAAGACTTCTATTATCAAATTATATGAATGGAAAATGTGTATTGTAAATCTATGGGAAAGTGATTTTTTTCAATCTGCTTAGATACATCTTAATACAGTATAATTTGAAATAATAAATCTTCGTCACAGAGAGAAAGAAAAACAAAAGTGTATTAACCGTTGATATATAAAATGGCTCACAGAGACCACAATAACAAACAAGATTAGATGCAATAATTTACTGAGAATCGTACAAATGTGTAGGGCGTGATCAAACAAATGATTTAAGTACAAACTAGAAAATCTATTTGAGAAAAAGCAATATTAGGGAATCTGTTAAAAAGTATATAATCTAATCTCTTCTAATGGACTACCAATTAAAATTTATAGAGATGAGGAAATAGAGAATTATCAAAATCTTACTCAAAATGGTAGAATATGAATTTGACGTTTCTGCCCCAAATTAATGAACCATTAGATTTAAAGACTCTTACGGAGAAAACTGAAAAGATATTTCAATTCGAGAAGTGAAATTATGCAGAATGTGATACTATTATGGTCGAGTAATTATTTGAGATCTTATAAAAACTTTGTCTATTGATCCCATGCTACGACTACTAGAAATGTCGGGTGCAATAATAATAATTATAAGAATAAAGAAAATGATTGGCGTAACTCTTCCAATATCTTTCATCACTTAAAGAAGAGTGCAATTTAAGAAAAGAAAAGAAAAGAAAAAACACCGTGTTGGACAATGTTCAGGAATATTTCAACAGTACGTCTGTCTTCTTTAAATTATGTCTAAAAATTGTATACAAGTATAAAAATATTTTAAAAAATCTACAAAAACTATTTGTACAAACGTCACTTGACTTGAGAAAAATGGCTGTAGTGGTAATGGAACGCGTCAAAACGAATGGAACACCGCCAGCGTAAATGACATGCAACTGAAACGTATGATGGTGATCTTGTTCATCTTGGAATTTTCCGTTAGTTGATTAGTTACTAAGAGGAATTAACTGAACAGATTAGTATACTCACTTCTTCATCTCGACTGGATCAGCTTTCTTCTTTCCCCAAAGGCTGTATTTATTTTTTCCTTTCCCTCCCCCTTAGCGAGAGAGCCTCTTGATTTTGTCCCTAGGCAGAATACAGCGGCCTCTCTATTTTGAGGGTTGTACGGGTCCAACTAACATCTGTTATCTTTAGTTTTTTGTTTTGATATTTCAGCTTGTTTTGGGGATCACCACCCACTCATTGTCTATCATGGATAAATTTTTATACTATTGTATGATAATGAAATCTTTAACGTCATGGGGTGTGTTTTGTAGGAACCCCTGAGAGTATGCGATATTATGGAGGATTGATTGGCGATGGATGAGTTCTTGTGGTGAATGTGCCAATTGTAACGAGTGAATCAAATTAACTAGGTATAAGATAATGAGTGAAGATCCGCCTCAACCCATTTCTTCTCTTCGGCATTGTGGCAAAATTGCATATTTTATAAAATAGATATCAACAGCTTAAACTCTCCTGTCATTCTGTTCACTCCCCAGGGGTGGAAAGCTAGCAGTTTCCATAAGTAACTATCCTCATGCGTTTTAAAGGTTGCAAAGTCGATGGATTCTGGATATTTTTTCAAAATTCTTAAAACTCATGAGGATAGGTTTGGGCAAGCATACACTTATTTTTGTTGTTTTTGAAAAAGAAGGGTTTGTGAGTACATACAAATGAAATCTTAAAGAGAGGGACTAAGGCACCCTTGCTTTAGGTAGTCTATTTTTTCCTTAATCTTAAATGTCGGGTACTTTCCAGACAGATATCGCAGGAAAACTAGACCTTGCTTGTAGATAATAATTTAATTTTTTTTCTTTAATCTAGTTGTTCTTACACAATACATGAAATAAAAAGCGATAATTTACACTATTTACATATGAAAAAAGTAGCTGTAACTGGAAAAATATTCCTATTCATAATGCAAAACACGAGATAGTTTCTTAAATTGAAGACACAATATTAGTGCTTCTCCCATTGAGTGCAAGTATGAAAAGGTTGTTTTGAGATACAACCGTAATCGTAAATTAGAGCTGGTCCTAGAAAAAGCATGGAGTTGAGTGTCAATGATCTTGAGAGGTTGCCCTTGTGCCTTTTTGATGATTATGTCAAAACTGCACCTCTCGATGAATATTGAAATTATGGGGCCACTGAGAATATTTCTCTCTTTCTTTCTACTCCAATTAGAATTCTTACTTCAATAATATATGGGGAAAACTGCGAGTTGACAGGCGAGTTACATTGCACAACTTTGAAGGGGTAAGGTGACGGAGATTTACGTATGTTCATCCTTTGGCGTAAGAATGAATCGCTCACATATTGGCTTTTATAGTTTTGGTACATTTTTTTTTTTTTTTTTTTTGCATTTAAACATCTAAAAACATTTTAATCCTGAAATGACTTCGAATTTTTGTGTGAAACCATTTTCTGAGGTTAATGAAGGTCATTTCAAGTACAACTAATTTGTGGCCTTTCCGATCTACATTTGTAAAACACCTACATGACTGAAGATAAATTGTTACATGGGATTAATCTAGACAAGGGGGATAGGATAGGTGGTGCTAATTTCCAATGTACCTGGTGCCCACCAGGGATCAGTTTGTGATTAAAATAGATTTTTATTCAAATGAAATGATTTAAAGGATTTTTTAAATTATTATTTTGTGTTCCTTGTAGAATGTCTACCGACATATATATATATATAATTAGGCTCTTGCTTGAAAGATCTAAAATTGCAGATTATTTTAGTAATAGATTAGAGAACAAGGAAAAATTCATCACTAAATTAGCAAATGTCAATTTCGTCAGTAAATAGAAAACAATCGTCAATAAGTTAAAACTGCAATTCTGCCAAAGACGACAATGATGATGAAAAACAGTATTATAGCTCTTAATATAGATAGTTTTATTTGTGCTGGCTGATGAAAACCGTTACATTATGTCACTGTTCCAAATAGCGGACATTTAAAACGTTTAACGAACAATCTCGACTTGATATTCTTGCCGAGACAGGACGCTCCTCTAAAAACAGAAAAGTAACGAGAAACAGACTTCTGCTATGCTTTTCAAATATCATATACGGTTAGATAATTATAGAACAACAATTCAGGAAGAGGGCAGCATTACGCGCACAAAAATATATTTACTAAGGTTAGCTTTGTCTGGAACAGGACCATAATAGTGGGGCGCTCTGTAAGGATCGAATTTACACCTCTACCTATGATTTGCGAGATTAGCTTGAGAACAATCAATTTACAAATGGTGGCCAATCACTGTTTGATTCTTAACAGAGATACAAATTGCACAAAAGAGCTCTTACATTTGACATAATTTTTGTTTTGAATCCATCGCTTTCTTTCTTCTCATTTTTCACATTTTATTTGGCTTATAAAAGTCCGTCACTAATTGATGACATAATGATATGTTTCTAGTTTCTCACTGTTACTAATGGTCAGTTTTCAGTTTGAACACAAGATTGTGAATAATGTAGGCCTCACCTTACTTGGAACATTGGGGCAACAAAATCTTTCTACAGTCTTTTTCATCCCATTTGATTTTGTACCGTAAATTAGCGTGTGCTAATATACGCGAGTGCGCATACGTGCACGCGCACACACAGAATGAGAGCAAGCAAGTATACATTCATTTTTGTTATTGTTAACAATTCTGGGAATATCCAAGTGAGATTGAACTCTTTCTAACCATTTACAAAAGTTGCAATAGCGGAGCTATTGTTAATGCAAACTTTAATTTCTAACAATAAACTCTATGCCACAATGTTTGACAGCGAAGAAAGTGAATGACGGTTTGGCACTGGAATAAAAAAAAAAATTTAAATTATCACTCAAGCAAAATAAATGTAAAAAAAAAATGCTATATCCGGTATTAACCTTGACAGAGTTCAGCATGTTTAATAAGAATATTGTTGTTACTCTCTATGATTACCATTCGAACCTTTCACTCGTTATTTTCTGTCTTCTGAATTCATGTTCTTTTATTGTTCTCGCTCCTTAATAATGTTTTTCTTTTATTTTTTCGCACTCAGTAACCCACTGTGTTAGTGGCTTTGTTGCTTTGCTTAAGGTGAAACGATTTTTTAAAAGTATATTAGGATATGATTGAATTATTGTTGAAATTACTACCATTAGTACATCTAGTGTGTAATACGTTAAATTATATTTCATGAATGTCAATAATATGAAATTACTTTTAAATTGTTCTTTTGATATATTTTAAATAAGAATAAAAATTCATTTTTTCCTTAAAAAAATCAAGGAGTTTCTAAGAAGATAACCTCTTATGCCACACAATCTCTGTTTCTTAATATTCTGCGCTTAAGATTTTTTCGTGTTTTTCAACCAGTGACTTGAAGAAAGCAGTTTTTTCCTAATTGGTTAGGTCCTCCATGCTCAAAGTTAGGAACTGGAAAAATTTGTCGCCAAAAGGAGACATTATAAGAATGGCTGAGTTCATCAAGCAAGTCCAGTAAGTCGATGAGGGCTACCGCTGAGCAGCCTAAATTGTCAATGTCCACTTTCGGACGCATGATACACAAGAAAATCAAATTCTGCGTGCCAAGTTATAAACTGTTTATATCTGACAAGCTCCGAAAAAGAGAGAGAGAGAGAGAGAGAGAGAGAACAGTGTAATCCAATCAAAACACTTAAATTTCTCTTTGATGAGAACTTCCATCAAGATCAGTGATAATTGGCTCTGTGCAAACCACACTAAATTACCCACGTCATTTGAGAGTCTTAGGGTCATAAGCAACAAGTGAAGTGTTATGCAGACGCACTAATCCCTGCAAAGAGTCAGAATCAATGCCACCGCCTACATCGTGTAGCTGGATAGAGTAACCTAGATCGAGAAGTGGTGGCCGTAAGTGTGTTCTGGCATGACTTTATTCCGTTCCAGTTGACCCACGTTACTCAGGAGTGGTTGGTCAATAATTTTCATGATTAAGCCATTATCTTAGCCCAAATGATTCCTATGTTTGAGCCTCGTCCAGTGGTAGACCAACCGATGGTCTCACAGTTTATTGCTGTAGACGATTCTCATGCGCGTGATAGTCAGCATGAACAAGAAACACTCGATCCGCGCATGCAACCGATTCTGAGACTGTATTAAAAGAGTCCTCCAGGCTTAGAGCGGTTTTATTTAATAATTATTTTTTTATTTTTCTAAGTTGAGCATGTGTACATATTTTAACATATATACACATTTTTTTCTTTTGAATAACTTTGAAATGAAGATATGAAATTTTGTCTTCTGTAAGCTATTGAAAATTAAGAATCATAGCGTATTTTTAGATTCAAGGTTATAAATTTTTCAATTTATGCTAACAGAAGCTATTTCTTTCATAGATTATTAAAATATATAAATGAATTTATGACATTTCATCATAAAAAAGCAACACGGGTTTTCCATTTACCCCAAGATCCAAGATCAGAATGATCAAGAACGATGAATAAAGGACACAACACCTCTGACAAACCAAACACTGTTGGTTTCTTTGACAAAAATCATGTTAGTTTCTGATGTGTATCATTTTATTATGAAAAGAGAGCACGGGATTATATTATCAAATATATTTTTGTAAAATCTTGAAATTGCTTTCTGATTGTATTATACAATTTTGTATTTTCTGTAATCAATTGGTATAAACAAATTAACTCATTATTTTTCAATATCATCTAAAAATGTAAAATTCATGGCACATAAATGATTTATGTGAATTTAATTATTTTATGATAGAGGATGTTATTTTTGTTCTTTATGCATTTGTATTTATGGAAATAAGTCAATAATTGTAAGCCAATTTCTAATATTATGTATAGTTGCTAATGAACTAATTACTGGATACTACTAAAAAGTTCCTTGCTAAAAAATATTCTCTGAAATTGTTATTTAGTAGTAATGTAAGACTCTACATGTTCGGCCCCAGTCGTATACCCTAGTTGCATGGTTGCCAGGTTATGGATCGCCTTGCATTTAACCTATCCATATCCAACAATCCGACAAATGGAAGTGCATCATCATTTTAACTCCAGTTTCATAAATGCAGTCGAATGCTTTAATTACTTGTGATTCACTGTCTGATTTATTTGATTTCTTTTAATATTGATTTTTACAGGATTGTTCAATACAAATTATCCACGGGTGGATCCCTCCGTCATCATGCTTGTTTTGAACTCTTCACAGACGCATTGCTTGCTCGCACGGAAAAAGAACTTCCCTTCAGATATGTGGTTTTGTTTATCAGGCTATTTAGAACCGGGTAAGAGTACAATCCATTATCAACACTTGAACAATATAAGAAAAGCACTGAAATATATCTACAACTCTTTCTAGCGTTTTTATAACTATTTTCACGTTGTTTTTATACTTATAAGAATTCGTATCTGTGTTGGTGTGTGTGTGTTTGTGTGTGTGAGAGAGAGAGAGACAGAGAGAGAGAGAGTGAACTGTTTATGAAACCTGGAACGATTTTAACTAGACTTTATGTATTATGCATTTATTTACGGATGATCAAATTAGATTATGTCAATCTTCCAAATAGCGGACATTTCTAACATATAACGATCTAGAACTTATTTTCTTGCTAAAATAGGATGCTTTGATAACGAGAAACGAACTTCTGTTATGCTTTTCAGTTTCTTTCAATTTTTGTATGATTCATAATCGTTCCACTCATATCGTAATGAGTCATTGTTTCTGTTAGGATTATCGATAGGATTTATGCTCCACAGTTTTGAAGGTTTCAGATTATTACATAGTGGTGGCTTCCCCCCGACTATCTTTTCAGAAGTTCCTCATTCTTCTCAGTCTACTAGTTGAGTTTAGTAAGGATGTTAACTCGGATTTTATTTCTTCCAACATCTTTACAACGGTCTTTGAGACTGTCACATTCCTTTTCCACCATTTTTTTAAAATTCTGTCTCAATGTTAAGATATTTATTTCAGATTTAAAATTCCTTTCAACTTTGCCTTGTTGTCCGCTGAAACAACGATATTAATTATCTAGTGTTTTAGGTGATCTATTTTACTTTGAAAGTGCAAAAGTAATTTATATTTTTTACTGTAGGACAAACTCTTGTTTTTGTACAATAAAATCTTAGTCGTTTGCATAAATCCAAGTGGTGCATCTTTTACTTTTGCTTTATGATTTCTGTTACAGAAGTTACTGTATAGTAGATGATTTTGTAAACAGAAACAAACTTTGTTATTCCCTTTTATGTAGTTAATAGCATTTTTTAGCCCCCAAAAATATTTCTAAAAAACACATTAAGTCCAATGTCGTTAGGAAATTGTGTTCTGATGATCACTTATCCCTGCATTCATCGCATCTCCATCTCCAAAATCGCCAAATTCATTCTGTCTCTCTCTCTCTCTCTCTTCATATATATATATATATATATATATATATATATATATATATATATATATATATATATATATATGGTTAATACGAATATGAACATTTTCAATTCGCTGATTGATGTTATATTCAGCGCATCTAGTGCAGAGCTTCATAGACAAACCTTTGTGTAATTGTTCGGCCCACTCGTCAGGAAGTATCAGCAAATAGTAAAGGTAATAAATCCGTTGGTATATAATCCAAGAGGATCCTAGTAATATAACATATTAAAAATGATCCACAAAAAGAACTCAATGTATTTATCATTACAGAGCGAATAATTTGTACACAATATAATCCCAAATTACCTCATACGGTGGATAGGCTTATTTTAACCGACGAGATTCGTCAGTCTCATTCAACCCCGGTATAGACTGAGTTCGTGTCGGAATTAGAAATTTAACTGTGACAGCTACAAAAAAAAAAAAAAAAAAAAAAAACGTTGAAAAACTAATACATAATTTATCCATTTCAATGTTTCAGTCAGACGAAAAGCACGAGACAGTGGTCAAGGGATGGTGGAGGGCATTAGTATTAAAGAGAAGAGGTTTCATAAAATTAAACCCAGATTTTAACTTTATGACATTAAATCGGGGTCATATGAAGAATGAAGTGTTAATTTGAAGCTAAGATAGGAATAAAAAGGATTTTTAAAACTTCAAATTATAGAGATAAATCATGTTTAAAAGTCCTCTTCCAAAGACTAGTTATATTTAAAAATAAGATATATTTAAATAAATTAAAAGTAAGTCACATTTAGATAATTTATATTAAAATTAATTAAAATTATATTTAAAAGTTTATATTTAATATAAAATCGATATGTTTATATTAAAGAATAAAAAAATATTTAGAAATAAAAAAATATAATTTGATAAGATGAAATAAATACATTTATATGTATAATTTATGAATAAAATAAATAAATAAAATGAAATAAATAAACAAAATTTTTAATTTAAGATAAGTTAAATCAAAAACAAGTTAAATTTAAAAATACAAAGTTATACTTAAAAATACAAATTTATATTTAAAAACAACCCTAAAATATATAGATAAAGAGGTATATGTGATAAAAGGAAAGACAGTTCTTAGAACAGGGGGACAATCATAAGATATAATTAATATGGTATAAAAATGGAAATATAGAAATTAGAATTAGTTGTACATTCGACATTTTAAGAGTTAGAGAAATATAGTAGCTAATGAAGTAAAATCTGTATTATGGAAATTTTAATACTAATTCATTCCTTTTTTTCAATAGTTGGTTTTGATTATTGTATTTTTTATTATTCTAATTTTTCTTCTAAACATAAGTTACACCTATCTCTAAGACTATTACGAGTACGTGCGGAGCCTGTAATCTTCCAATCGATCTGTGGCTTCAATCCTTTCACCTTCAATTCCCAAAATGTTTTTGAAAGAGCTTTCTGATGTTTTAATTTAGGGTTGGTAAAAGAGTGCTTATGAGTATAACATCTCTGTTTCCATTCCTCCGCGAAAATTCCAATGTAAGCATTATAATTTTTCATATTTTCTTTGGGAGAAATAGTTGCTTGATATATAACCCTGGTAGATCTGCATTTGCCCTTTACTAGACAATTTTCTTTATATCTACAATTACAGGAGGGGTCAATACCAGGTTTGTTGTTTATCCCATAGGAATTTCATAAAATTATAGTTATTATGTGAATTGATCATTTTATACATGTCAATGGTACAGGAGTAGCTAATTTTAATCGTTTGATGATCTTACTTAGAGGATTGTTTTTAAGAAAATGTTTATTTATTAACTTTAGAAAATACTGTCCGATATTAATATTTGACAGTGTGCAGAAGGGGGTGAACCACATAAGTTTTTTCTATTTCTGTGTCTACATTTCACTTTAGATATTTCAGTGTTCCTTATGGGGTTCGTTATATATATATATATATATATATATATATATATATATAGACATTTGCTAATACTTCCTGAAGTTATATATATATATACAGGGTACGATGAGTAAATCGTCGTCATGTTTTTAATTTCATGCATGCGCAATTTTTGTTTTTGATTTTGTCGATTGCACAGTATATTAGTGTCAGTTCGGCACCGTCTGTGAGAAAAAGAGCACCATGACATAATTCACTCCGACAGAAATTTGGAAACGGTATGCTGTACTGCATAGTATTCTCACCGGAAGCTCCACTCCGAACATTCCAGTGTGTTTGGGTGTCAATCTGATGACAGTGCAGGGGATTCGGAAAGAGTTGGATGATATATCCAGTCAAAATGATGGTGTTTGGGGTGATCACTAGTGATAGCGACGTTATGGCTCCATTCATCCTCCCTCAGTGCATTAGACTCAACACGGAGGCCTACATCAAGAGGGTAGCTGCTGGAAGACCCTATGTATGGTAACAGGACACTGCACCATGCCACACAAGCAGGAGAACCCAGTTATGGTTGTCAGACAATTTATGCAATCACATCCCCCCTTAGATCTGGCTACCAAACTTCCAAGACTGTAACCCCCTTGATTATTATGAGTGGGGCGCAGATGAGCGAGAGACTAACAGAACTCCTTGTAAGACCAAAGATGTACGGAAGGCAAGGATTATGACAACATTCACCAACGTAAAGAAGAAGACCGATCAGAAGAGTTGCAAGAGATTCTGACGTCGTCTGGAGGCCGTGGAGGAAGTCAATAGCGATTTTATTGAATAAATTTTCACTTTAGTATTTCAACATATTTTTGTGTCATTTTGGTAAATATATCTGTTAAAATGAGATGTCAGTGTTATTTTAATTTTTGCGTAATTTTGACGACAATTTATCTATCGCATCCCCCCCTCTCTCTCTCTCTCTCTCTCTCTCTCTCTATATATATATATATATATATATATATATATATATATATATATATATATATAATTTAAATTAATTGATTTAAAATATGGTTTTTAAAACCATGTTTTAAATCAATTAATTTATAATATTAATGCTCTGTAAATTTACATTGAGCACTATTTTGTAAAAATAAAAATATCTATAAGAACACCGGATTATATATGTTACTGTTCTTTCTTTTTATTTAAATACATATATATGTGTGTGTGTGTGTGTTCAAAACTTATTAATGATAAAATATCAACAATCTCGACTTCTTAATGCAATAACGGTGTATAATCATTTTCTGTAGTTGACTCCAACACACACACACACACATATACATATATATATATATATATATATATATATATATATAAGATATTATATAGATCAGATATGGATCGGAATCTGACATCATGATAAGATAAAGAAGAAATAAGAAACGTTTATCAATCTAACATGTTTCACTTTTTATTAAAGCTTCATCAGATATATACTAATTTTATATCATCTGGATTCGAAACATGAATAAAATATCGTTACTTTCTTATCGTAAATGATTATGTCTAGTTTTCGCTACGCTGTGTTTTGGCAGCTTTGCATGCTACCACCGATTTAATGCGTTATTAGTGTTAGTTACCATTGTTGCCTATATTTAGACAAGTTATGAAAACATTGATCATCTTCTGCCAAGCAAAATGATCCCAAACCAATATTTCACCCACTTGTCGTTACGTCGATATACAGTCGTGGTTAACCCTGTACATCAAAAGCTAATTTATTGGTGATATGTTAATCCACATGCCCATCAAATTCTGCTCTTGTTTTATCATTGTTCTTCAGTTTATTCACGCATTCAGAACTTGGTCTTATTCTGCAATAAGTATACCTGCTTCCTCTTCTTTCTCTTCTGCTTCTTCTTCTTATTATTATTATTATGGTTGTTGTTGTTGATTCCGGGATGAAATCCGGTCTCAAATGAATGACAAACGCAGGAATGAAATATAGCAAATAAATGTATTGACGTAATAATACAATTGGTAATACGGTTAGTAGATCCAGAAATGCGGTTAGTAGCAATAATAATATATATACAGTCTGGGAAATTCAGTATCGAAGTATGACTTCCTTCTGAGTCTACGAGTTCGCAACTGTGACACCTACAAAGCGGTTACCTCACACTCTCACTCTCTCACTCTCTCAATCTCGGGTATTCACCGGCAGCAGTACAAGTACACACTGGGCGAGTCCACTTGTATAAAAAGGGGTGTACCCCTTAACAATTATTTATTTTGGTTTTGATGCTTAGATTATTATGATTATCATGATAGTGATGTCTTTTAGAAAAACTTTAAACTTTTGAATTTGGAGTTAAGTTTTAATAATTGAATCCTAAAAACTTCAAACATTTCAGTAAAACATACATGATGTTGAATTTCCAACAAATGTTCGTCATACGCACTTGAGAACAAAATGACCGCTGCAAAGAGAAGCAAACCAACAGATTTAGGAAAGTCAAATACCTTTAAAAATTACATTAAATAAGGTATAAATTTCGTACAATAAAAACAAATTTCTGCCTTCGACTCATAATTTTCTGTTGTATTCACTTTGCAGGAGAAACTATAGAAGAGACTTGCCAAAGAGAAGTTGCTGAACAAGTCCATCTTGAAGTGACCAGCACAAATTACCATTCCAGCCTTCCTTGGCCGTACCCTACGGCGCTTTTGATTGGGTGTATTGTGCAGGCTGTGACGCAAGACCTTAAGGTAGAATTTATACATACATTTCTATATTCAAACATATATCGCAAAATGTTAATATCGTCAATGTGAATCCTTTTAAAAAAATCTTACGTTCAACACGGGGAAACCTTTTAAAAATAAGACCTTTTCCGTTGTACTTTAAGAAAAAGGATCAGAGTAATGCCAAGATATCAAATGCCTATCTTCTGAAGAAAAGCCATATTACACATGTTTTTAACAAATGAGACAAAAGACGTTTATGCAAAAATTCATATGCATAATACATATTCTTACATGCTAATAAAGATATGAAGATACACAATGCAATCGCCTCACAAACGTTGATTTTCCGCAGGGTTACAAAAGCATAACCAAACACTCTCTGCAGTATAAAGGAAAACAAGGTGCACCCTAAGAATTACGTCTAAGAAACACCAAAAAGCATAAAGTAAGCAGAGCATGATTTGAAGGAAAATGCAGGCAAGGTAAAAATAACAGACATAATGAAAGTCCAAAATGTCATACATGAGCTTGTCAAAAGTAAAAGCACACTGTAGTAAGAAATATTACATTTTAGCAGTTAAGTCTATTCATGGTCATCTGAAGAACTTCAGCCATAAATATAATAAAAATAAAGATAATAATCTGAATACTCCACAAAATAGTAAAAACACTTCTCAAAACTACAGTAAAAATCCCTGAATATTTTAATTTCTTGTTTCTCTTTTCTCAGGTAAACAAAGAAGAATTAAAAGACGCTCAGTGGTTCAGCTGGTCAGATATGGGCTTGATGTCCAGTATTCAGCATCCAGCCAATTACAAGCTTCCACCAGACCAGACCTTATCATACCGTCTAATTGAATGGTGGATGCATAGCCATCAGTCAACGACAGACAACAAGAATCATATATGTTAATACACCTCATTAGATCAGAGTAAATCTGACAAGATTAAAAAAGCGAAAAGGAAAGCAATGAAAGACGCTGAAATCTTACACAAATCTAGAAAGAAGCATTCTTTTTCGGTTTGGAGTCACAGACAGCAATAAGTCACCTAAGAGATTATAATGTAATGTTTCATATTCTAACTGATGTAAGAAGATTTTTGTGGAATGGAACTTTCTTTTCCGAATAAATTAGGTTTTAAAGGCTTTAATGTTATGTTATAAGTGTACCTCAACGCTTAAGGTATATTTCTCAATAATTAAACATTTTTGTCAGGCTAAGTAGAATTTTTATTATAAAAATTTAGTAACCTTAGTCTAAAGACGAGTGATGGAAATCGTATTGAGTGTTGTACAGATTATATTATGATACATTTGTATGTGGTATATAGTGTATTTGTTTTAAAAAATCAGCATTTGAAAATGTGCAACTATCTGCATCAAGAGTGAGACTTAGTGTTCTTATGTATAATTCTTACTACTTTTATTCTCATAGATATAGATAAACAACATTTTAGAAAGCTTTTATGAAAAAAATCCCAACTATATATAAACATTACAGAATTTTATTTACGAAATAAATACTCTAATATATTGAGTATACTTTTTCTATATCATAAATCCTTCCATAAAATGTAGGTACATCCATGAGATCGCTAAAAAAAGAGCATAGCATGATGAAAAAGACGCCAAACTTGAAAAAATTTTATCGTCTAAAGGTTTATGTTATTATTAAGAGGAAAGATCAAAGTTTATTTTAATTATTTTTTAAAATTTTTCCTTTTTTTTAGAATATTCTGAATCCTTTTTTCTCTTTGTACCACCGGAACTAGTAAAATAACATATACAATTTTTAGCACGTTTTTTTGTATGACACACATTAATTTGGAAAATCTTGCAAAAATAAAAATAATTGTCGGATGTCAATGAAACTTTCAGAAAATATTCACAGATGATCGAAATTATTATAAATAGAATTTTTTTTATTAAAGTCATGGCAGAAATATTTTTTATATTTATTACATTATAAAATTATAGTATTTTATGTACACTTCTGATAAAATTTCATAAGAAAGGTACCTATAAATTAATTAGATACCTATCTCACTCTTAACAGTCTTATTTTAATTTCTTTATAATATATTTTCCATAAAGCATCGTAAACGTAAAGGTGAAAGCTAAGTACAACAAAAAAATTAGAGCGCTGAAAGTTTTCCTTAAAAACAACGAGGTAAATAATTTGTTCACTTAAATGTAAATAATTTCACTTTTCTCCTTCCGTAGAACAAAGTATCCTCACGTAATCCGTCAATATGTCATTCATCACCTGTCAAGTTAGGCGAAAGTTTATGACCGGCTTTGTTTTATTTTCAAATTACATCTTGGTTCAAAATATTTTAAATAAACATTATAATTTCTGATTTTCTTAAAATAAGTTTTGAAAAAATGATAATTGATTTTTAAAAGAATTTCAAATTGAGATTTTCATTTTTTTTAAATGGAAAAAATGGTTGCCATGATCGATTATCTGTCAATTTTGCTGACTCAAAAAAAACAAAATTTTTAATGAAAATTTTGGACATGCTAGGAACAATTAAAAAATGTAAAAGAGTACCCTCAAAATACTTTGATCTTTCCTTTTAATAATAACATAAACATTTAGACGATAAAATTTTGTTTTCATCAAGTTTGGCGTCTTTTTCATCATGCTATGCTCTTTTTTTAGCGAACTCGTGGAGGTACCTAATAAAATGGAAATCATTTATGTGACTCTTTTTCCATACATCGTTAAACAAATTTTCAGTTTATTTACTTTCTAATATAAAAATATAAACAAATAACTACTTTCTGTATGGTTCATTATGTATATATGCATCACCAGAAATATTACAAGATTTTATTAAAGTATTTTTATCAAAAAAGGAACCGCGATTTCTAATTAAATTAATTGAAAATATATGACAATTTCAACTGTTCCTCTATTTCCTATGAATATGTAGGCCTCATAAGCCTTGCATTTAAAAATATTAAATAACAAAGACTATAAACGCGATAAGAAAACATTATCGAAACATTTGTTGAAAATTAGGTATAATACATAAACATATATATTCATCTATATAATTCTTTTAATACATATATATTTAGCTTTGTTATTTTACATACATCGAGCACTGATCTTTTTTTCTTTGCTACCAGCATTTACTGTGAACTATTTTATATTTATATTTATATCTCTTCCCTTCTCTGTCTGTCTGTCTTTATCTATATATAAATTATATATATATATATATAATATATGTGTGTGTGTGTGTCTGTGTGTGTATGTATAAATACAAACAGAAATAACCTTTTATTGAGCGATTTCTTTTTAATTATGTTTCTAAATGATTTAAATCATATTGGAAATTTAAAATTCAAATATTGTCTGATGTTTTCTCCCATAAAATATTTTCAGTTTGTACAATATTTTAACTTCAATCAAAGCTTCAGTTCCAGCAAGTAAAATGCCCCGTGATAAGGCTCCTATCAAGATAATTTCGCTACAATGGTTCTCTCTGATAATTCATTATTCGTTAGATCTATGAACTGAAAATCATGTAGCATTGATTCCTCTGTTCACTGTTTATGTATTTGATATTTCCTCCCATAAATATAGCAAATTCCAATATATATATATATATATATATATATATATATATATATATATATATATATATATATATATATATATATGTACTGTTACTAGTCGGGAATTTAGGTTCACATACTATAGGTTCAAATCCTATAGTGGTGAAATAGATTTTCTATTCACGTGGATAAAAATATATTGCGGTTCAGAAGCATTAAACAAAACTATCTTTATTGATGATGAGTTGTCATTGTTTGATTTGAAGAGCCTTCAAAACGTTTAATCGTTTTTTTTGCAGTTGAATTGGCAGAGTACTCTTGTATTATTGACCTGAATTTGAGGATAATAGGAGCGCAATAGATTTGCGTAAAATGTTTGTATAAGTCACTTTTTCCAAAATATTAATGGATTTTATTTATTATCACATAAATAATAAAAAATATCTAAACTAAAAATAAAGTTTAAGTAATAAAAATACGTCACTTTTTTCGGTCGGAGATGTGGCATGTTGATTTTCTTGAGAGAATGCATTGGTCTGAGACAGACATGTATGCATGTGTAGTGACTGAAACAATAACAAATTTCTCTTTAACATACAATTTTCGATTTCTAGTCGATACTAATTTTTCATGGCAACCAAACTTCCCACTACGACAGTGAATAGAAGAAAAAACATCGAATTACATGCATTTATCTGGAGTTAATGAAACTATAATATAAAAAATATATTCCATCTGACGACTTGAAAAAGAATACAGTTAAATGCGTGAATTTTGTCATAGAAGGAAATGTAGATGCCACTTAGTCACAGACAAAGAAACTCAAGATGTAGCGCTATCTGCAGATTGAAGTAATGAGACCGTTAAGTGAGATGTGTGGGCAGTATTACAGTCAATAAAAAGAAAAGGATCTTTTAATGTTAGACAGAAGATAAGTAATGGCTTCTTATACCTTGAAATTACAGCTGGTCATAAGACTTGAATCAGGTTCTGTAGGATAAAATATGATATACGAGGTAAAACATGATCTGCTTGTTGGAGAATATGAAATATCAAAGCGACTATTGGGGCCTTATTTTTCTGGAAAAAAAAGAAGATTGAGGGCTTTTAAGTTGGGTAAC